TAGTTTTAATTTAACTTCGAAAATCAGCTTAATGACACTTAACATTTTCTTTGCTCACATGCATCATATGTTGAAATTTAATATGCATCTCATCTATCCAATGCATCATTCTTATTGTTTCATAGATGGAAAATTTTTCAAACTAGAGGTTTCATTTTTCAAGTAGCTTGATTGTAATTTCTATCCTATATGTTAAAGTCATCATTTTTGTTTTCTCGTCCAACTTTTATCAGACAGAATAAACTATAAAACTCATCTGTGACCTAGTAATATAATAGTTTTGTGTTTTTCAAACATTGTATTTTAGAAAATCACCCTCGATTCGTTAGTTAAATATTACATATGCTGCATAAACATAATAAAAGCTCACAAAAGTTTCCACATAAGTCATGAATATCGTAGCAACAATTTAAATCCGAACAGCAACTACAATCGGGACATGTACAATCATTACAAATTGAACATGAGCATAACGTGGATATAAGAGATGGATAGTCGAAGCAGTTACAACAGTGACAGTGACAACACCAAACACACCAATCGAATCCAATACAATAACAACAAAACAGTCGTATAGAAGGTTCTATATTTCTGCTTCCTGCGCTTGGACCAATTATGCTTGTTTGTGGTCTGTAGTGAGGTTGTCGTGCTGCTTCTTGTCGTTTCTCGTTAGATTGTGAAGCTTCAGTCGAATTATTAGTTACAGTAGAAGGATCAGTGTCATTATTTTGTTGTTTCTGCTCACTAGAATTCCCTTCTGTTTGATTTTCTTCCATGATTATTAGAGGTTGTTCGATAAAAATTATATTTACACAGAATTCTGTATTTTATTCAAGAATTTCCAATTGAAATTTGTTTTTATGGTTTCATTATTGATATTAATGACAAAAAAGAGCAACAAAACGAAATCATTGAGTAACGGTTGCTACAACATATAGAACATTAAAAACAGACACGAACAAAAATCATTTCCTTAATATATCGATTACAAGAAACTAGCAAACACGCTAAATTATATTAAAATTTACTATATTTATCAATTTTGGTTAAAATAAAATGATATCAAATGAGATTGATTACAGACTACAGAAGAATATTTAAAATTTATTTTTATGCTTAAACATATATATGTTTTATATAAAATATGTATTTACAAAATATGAATACAAATCACGTAAGTAAAAATCATAAAAAATAGTTTAATAATAATTGACATATTTGCATGACGCTGAGCACTACCATAGATTGGTAAAAATGGATATCCTTGAAAATAATATGCCGAATACCATCCATCTGGTGTTGGTAATCGCATATTGTTCAAATTAGCTAATAAAAATAAAAAATAAAAAATAAATAAAAATTTCTTTTCTTAAAAAAAAAATCGTTTATTCTTCTACCATAGTAATAAGCACCAGCTCCACTCGGATAAGCATTATATTCTTGTGGGTTATATGACCCACCACTCATGACATTGACAGGTGTTGGATATTGATAAGCTACTCCACCAACAATGAAACGATTGTATTGCTGAGCATTACTTGGATAGATATCAGCAATATTAGTTTCATAATAGGATGCTGCTGCAGGATACAGTGCATAATTACCATAGTTATTATAAAGATATTGACGTCGACGACGAATTTTACCATCAACTAATACAGAGAAATATGAAGAAAAATTTTGTTGAATTTAATAGATTTTTTTTATTAGTAATTAAAGGAACAGACCTTGAATAAGGGAACAAAGAATAATTATAGCTAAAAATGTATTTAAAATTTGCGAACAACATTGCCATCTCATGGTGAATCACGCGTACTTGCAAAGCAAGAAAAAAAAGAAACGAAGCAAGGTTTTTTTTTCTTTCTTGACAACCTTGATGAATCCGCCTCTCGTCATTTTTTTTTTACGTTGTTGCACGACCTTCTCCGATTTTTTGTTCTTTCCTATTACATTATTTGGCGCCATAGAAAAATACATTTCTTGCCTCTTCGTCTTCTTTTTTTTTT